TGCCCTATCCCTTCCTCTTTGGTGACTCACTACCCATGCATGCGCTTTATGTAATAGAGATTTGACTAGCTAATGCGTGCTTTCGCTTCATACCATCACCTAATCAATGAAGAACAAGGAAGTTAGGATATCACATAGTTAATTATGGGCTTCTACAAACATACCCATAGTCTTTAAAATTGATAATCTAAGAATCAAGCATAATTCTTAGTCGTGCATATAAGGGTAGCTAATCCTCATATAGAAGCCTAAGAAGGATGCCTATAACACAAGATTAGTTTTCTTGTTTCCCATAATAGTAGTAGTATAAATAAGATACTATAATAACATTCATCCTTGATTCTCACGCATACAACAATCAACACATCATATGATAAAGAGCATTGATGATCATAGACAGTAGATGATTAAAGCATGCATTGAATAAAGCATATAAAGGAACAAGCATTGATGAACCAAAGCATAGAACGAAATGAGCATCTCATAGATTCATGGAAAGTAATTCATAAGCATCATAAAATTCACATCCCTAAACACATCGACTATCAACACAAATAAGAGTGGGACAACATCACCATAGACACATGAATTGATGGTGAATGATTTTCCTCTGAATTTCAGCAACAATTCTTCTCGACTCTATGGATTTCTACTCGTGCCCCTAGGACAGAGTGCTGGTGAAAGGTTGTGTGTATCAGCTCTAACCTAGCCTCCTATTTATCCTAGTTACATAAGGGGATTTGTCAGTCCCTTTTCCTCCTAATCCTAAAGTTTGCCAAATCTTTCTTATCGCACTTGAAGTTGAATTCCTATGACTTGGGGACGAAGTAGCATCTTCAAGAAGTTTCCTTGAGGATTTAGGACTAGCGGCGGTGGGTAGTGATGTTGGGTCATCGCTGATTTTCCACTAGAAATGGGTTGCTTGTGGGCCTAGTAAATTCTCCTCCAAATTTGGGCACGTATTGACGTGTATAGCTCTGGTTGGACCTCGATCAAAGTTGGGCTTTCTGCACACCGTAAAGCTTGTTTTGGCCATAAAGTGAGCATCTAATGTCCAAATCCATCTTTGTTTGAGCCAATAAGCTTGTATTCTCGTCCTCCTTCTGGTCCTATGGGTCTCTTGGTGATATATATTTGTCTTCAGATGTTTCTGACATTGAAAAGAACAAAGCAACACCATAAAGGCATCAAATCGTACAAAAACACACTCAAGGTCTATCATAATCTCATTATCCAAATAGTTATGAATTCCATATGAAATATAATCAAAACCACTAAGGATGCATTGATAGTAGGGAAAATGGATCAAATATGGGAGTGATAACTACTGTAAATAAATTGTCATCAGACACTGTAGCACTTTGTATCCGGTCGAGTTCCGTCCTGCACCACCTTCTTGTCATTTGCTACTTCTTTTCTAGTTGCATTATGAGTGATTCAGATTTTTTGGAACTAGGTTTTTTTTTTGCTTTCTCCATCGCAGAGGGTGAACGTCCCATCCTTTTATCCACTTTACACCTAACTCCAAAGAGACTTTTCACTGCTCCCTCCTGCAACTTAGTTCTCCTTCTTCGATGACTCCCTGCGTGCTTTTTCTTTGACTCTAGACCTCCATACTTTAGGAAATATACTTTCTCTCTTTCAATTCTTAGGATCTAGCTCTACTTTGTGCCACCTTATAAAAAATTCCTCTCCTCTTTGGAAACCCTAAAGTAACCGCCTTAGCGGATGCCATGGAACCCATTAACTTCCACCATTTAATTTTTTCGGATTTGTAAGCGATGATATCTTCCCAAATCTTGCATACATGGCTTGCTGGAAATCTGGTGGCGCCAACTGGCTTCTCAGAGGTCTCTACCGTATGGGTGGATAGGATGGTAAGCCTCTAATGCCTATGTTAACCGACATCTTCTTTGTTATTGGTGGATTCACCTTCCTTTTTTCTTAATATTTACTATTCTTAATTATGCTAAATAAATCAAGAATTAAAATATAAAAAAGAAATATGAACTCACTAATAGGAAACTGACACGTGGCTGGTTGGAGCTTCTGAGTCCAACCATGGTTGGAGCTAAGAATTTTCCGGGCGTCACTATGGTGGCCTCGCCGCATCAAGAACCCTCTTCCTCATGGATCATTTCTTGGGATAGCTTGTTTGATGTAGCATTAGAGAATCGACTAACATATCATCTAGCAGAGAGAGTCGGGGGAAGATTTTCATTTGTCGAAGGAAGCTATGGAGAAGGCTATATTCTCTATGGAAGGATTTCCTGATCGGGCAGTTCATCGAGACCCCCCCCCCCCCCCCCCCCCCCCCCCCCCAGAACGAATCTTATTCAAAGTTGGGCGAATTCTCTCTGGGGAAAAGATGAATTGGTGAGAGTTTCAAGGTTTGGATATCAATTTATTATTTTTCAGTTCCCGTCACCTCTTGACATGTGATTGGGTTTCACTTTAGGCCATGCCATTTTCAGGGTAATCCTTAGGGGTGAACAAACACACCCGCAAACCGACCCACCCGTCCAACCCGACCCAACCCACCCGTATTTATCGCTAAAATGAAGGTTTTGGGTTGGGTGAGGATTTTCTTTTGCACAACCCGCCTCTTTTGGGTTGGGTTTGGATTTTTTATTACACAACCCGTAGAACCCGACCCAACCCGTGTTCCAATTATTGGTATGAGTTCGTAACCAAAAAAATATTTATGTAATATATAGTCATACTTATGAGAAAATTAAGATATTTTGCCATGTTTTTCTCTTAAGGTCTCCCTAATCTAATGCATTCTTCGGCTTAAAGTTTAGACATAAATTTAATATAGCTATGATTCACGTAATTTTTTTTCTTGTGTACAATTTTAATAGAATAACATATTTTGGATGCGTTCATTTGTAACCTTTTTAGCCTATTTCAACAAATGTCATGAAAAAAACTAGACATAAGTTGAAGTAAATCAAATTTTATGAAAATTCAAACAACATTTGTGAATTTTGATACCTTTCACCTTGGTTTATTCGTTTGAATTTTTAATTAGTTATAAAATATTTTTATGAAGTAGAATAATTACATATTTTTGTGTTGGGTTGGGTTTTTATTTAAATATATCGCCAACCCGACCCAACCCAATTAGAAACAAACCGTAGGGTTTAGATTTTTTTGATTGGGTTTGGGTTTAATATTTCCCAAACCGTAGTGCATGGGTCGGGTGATTAAAATGTCTAAACCCGGACCACCCGACCCATGTACACCCCTAGTAATCCTGTGTTTTTCCGTAAGTGGAAGTCTGGTATAAAACTGGTGGTTCCTCCAGTTCATACTCTACCAATATGGACTAGGATTTCGGGGTTGTCGTTGGAATACAATAATGCGTAGGGGCTTGAGGAAGTTAAAAGTGCATTAGGGGCTCCACTTTGGATGGATCAAACAACCAGAGTGGGAGGACAACTAGGTTTTGCAAATGTTTGCACTGATTTTGCGATGGACTCTGGGTTTTCCAAGATATTTTGTTTCTACGCAAATGAAGACACACCTTATTATGTGGAAGTGAAATATTTGAACTTGCCTTTGGTTTTTCCTTCTTGCCAAATTTTTGGACACAATTGTGAAGTGCCAGCTTGGAGCAATAAGCGCTAGATCCTGAAGAAAGTGGAAGCTAATGTTGGAAGTATTGGAGAAAAGGTTGTTGAGGCTTTGGAAGCTGAGAAGGTTCTAGAGAAGGGTAAGATGGTATAGGAGGATGGAGAGGGTGCTCAGGAGCTAACTCATGCATCCAAATGCAAAAAGTTGCAGTAGGTGGGTCACTAGCTACTGCTATTGGAAATCTACTTTCTGGACCATCTCAAGCTGTGAAATCTGGGCATTGGAGGATCTTGGACCGATTTAGGAGTCACTGGCTCCTTCGATGGCACCACAGGTTGGTAGGAGAGGAGGTGTTGTAGTTGTGGGGGCGGGGTCATAAATAAAGATCCTCATTTGGAACACCAGAGGTTCTAAGGCCTCAAAGAAAGGTAATGTTGTCAATACTTTGATAAATAAACATAACATAGATATAATGGGTATAGATAAACCTAGAATAATAGTAATTGATACTGATAAAATAGCTAGTGTAAGGTTCCTAGATTGGGAGTTGAAGGTCTCTTATAATGAAAATGGTTTAGGAAAAATATGATAAATGTGGAGGAAGGATATTAACTTACGAGTGTTGCAAAAGGAGAAGCAGTATATGCATGCTTTGATAGGGGTCCATCACCTTTCTTTTTAACTATAGTGTATGGATCAAATTGTGATTATCAGAAAACTGAATTGTATAAGGAATTTCATGAGTTAAAAATTAATAACTTGCTCTGGGTTGTTCTGGGTGACTTCAATGTTATCAGGGGGCCTCATGAGGCATCGAACAATCCTGATTTGACTATCTCAATGGCGTAGTGTGGAGATTGTTTAGATGCAATTGAAGTGGACGAGCACAAGTCTGAGGGCCCTTAGTATACTTAGCTAAAGTTTCAGTGGTTACCATTTGCAATGCTTACATATTGGCAAACGTTTACAAAAACCGAAAACAAAAACAAAAAGTGGGGTGCTACGGCTACCCTTCTTTGTTCCTCGACTGTTGTTATTTCTTCAGATGTCCCCGAAGGGACTACTATTGTTATTTCGTTGGAGGTAGAATTTGATGTTTATGCTTATTTCCAAACATGCAATTTCAAACTAGTAGATGTAATCGATGCTATTTAGTTTTAGTTTTCGGGTTTGGAGATTGGTTGGGTTGGAGTTAAGTAATTTTGATTGCGGATTTAAAAGAAATTAGTATCGGGCCGAACTTTTATTCTAATTTCTGAATATAACATTTATGTCTTTATTTAAATCATAGTATTTTTCTTAAATATTTTTATAGTTAAATTTGAACTAATAAAACCGAGACGGTCCGTCTAATTCTATACTCAAATCACCAAAAAACATTTAACTTAACTCTAATCGTCCAATCAAACAGATGAACCGCTAGCTGTAAAGCCTATTTAATGCAAATTAAAGATGACAAGCTTTTGTCCCCGCTAATTTGCGACGACGACAATATTGTTGGCGGCAGGTAAGTAATGTTTTGTAAAGAAGAGAAAAGGCAGCTAAAAGTGGCCAATAAGGTTGGAGGCAGGTAAAGGCTCAAAACACGATATAGAAGATTGAAGAAATTGAGGGTGTCGACAAAATTTGCATGGCTGGCCTAGCTGCACGATAGAGGGAGGTTGGTAATGGCTCAAAACACATTTATTAAACCACGTAAATGTAGTGCTTTGCAGAAGAAACCGGTGATCAGAAGCCCAAATTATAGTTAAGGTTAGACAAACGAATCGATCAAACAAGAAACAGATCGGCAATGCGCACTATCCAAGCCGAGTTCGCTTTATGAGCGAGCATCAGCAGTTCTCATTGAGAGGGCGTCGGGCGTGGGAAGTGGTGAGTGACAAGGCTGTGCAATTGTTAATCATCGCTCGCCGAACTTTCCACAACGTACAGTGCTCACTTAAACAAGTCTTTTTTCCTCTATTGGAGCACTTTGGCTTCCCCTCGTGCTGGATATGGAACTCCATCATATGATATGTCTTGTGGGGTTGTTGGGTTCTTCTTTCACTGGCTCAAACTTTTACTTCAGATGTTAACAGTTATGTTCAGTTGAAAAATTGAGATGGATGAATGATTCAGAATCCGGAGTGGATTGGTTTTCTAAGTGTTTAATTGTATGATTGTAAGGTGGATTCGTTGTTTGCAGTATTAATATTTTGTGTGGTGGACATGGTTATATATTAATTGGTTCCAAATTTCAATAATTCTAGTTGTCGGAGCATGCCTAATGATGGATCATATACCATTTTACTAACACGCTCACTCAAACTAAAGTATACTCATATAACGAAAACCTACTCATATGATATTGAAGTTTGCACAGGAATTAGAAACCATGTGCTTAACAAATTGGGTCATCTGGGTTCGAAAAAAAGACCTTCACTAACCACATTATTAATCAATTGCTTTCAATAAATTTGAGTTGTTAAGAGAGATTCAGAAATAGATCTTCCAAGCATATACTACCACATTATTCCATATCCGTAAGTTCATTGGTCTCTTGTTAAAAAATTTAGTGTAAGGATATTGCATGCCTTTATTATAAAGGCGATATAGATTTATCTTTTATCGATGCTATTTAAGATACTCAACCTGCAGTAATATATAGCTAGAATTAAGGCGAATGGCATTATACTAGACCTAATCCTTGTTTTGCATAAGAGTATTGCATGTTTCACATTTCATTTCCGAGCAATGCTAGCAGAATGCAATGCTAATCGAATCTATGAACATGTTTGAATTGTTATTCTTTGTGCAGACAATAAACCCACTGTTTACACTTCCACAAATCTCAGAATTTTCTGTAGCACAAAACGAAACACAACTCTCATGGCGTGGGAGCCAATCCATGAATCAAACCAGAGAAAGGCGTACAAGGAACATAAGTATACGACCAAGGTCTCGGGCAGAGCATCCGTGGCTTCGCAAAGAACTCAGCGCATTCTTGAACCGGTCTCTGAAACGGAAACCCAGGGATACAATTCCCCGTCAAATCAAGAACTCCATTCATGATCAAATCCATACACAACCTCCCCACACCGGTAAAATAATTCCCCGACAATGTCAGATTCACCAAATTCCCCAAACCCGCGAGCCCGCTGCACAGCAAATCTGGCAAGATCCCGTAAAACTGATTCCCGCCCAGGTTCAGCTGCTCAACTTTCTCCAAACACATCAACGACAACGGGATCGGACCGGTCAGACGGTTCGACCCGACGTCGAAAACCACGGCTCCGTTGAGCATCCCGACCTCGTACGGCAAGCAACCCGTGAGCTGATTGTTGAGGAGGAGAACTTCGGTGAGTGAAACGAACGCTTTGAAAATCGAACCGGGGATTGAACCGGTGAACTTGTTGTTGGCCAGGGTGAGGTAGAGGATTCTGGTGTTGGCCAGATTGGGTGGCAAATTAGTCATAAACTGGTTGTCGTTGAGAAACAGAGCTTCTAGGTTTTGGACGAAGATTTGGGGCGGGACTGCGCCGGAGAAGGAATTGAACCGGATGTCGAGGAAGGTGAGCCCGGTCATCCCGAGGACGGCAGTCGGGAACGGGCCGGTGAAGAGGTTGTTGCTGATGTCGAGCTCGTAGAGGTAAGGCAGGGCGGCGACAGCAGAGGAGATCGTGCCGGCGAAGGAATTGGAGTTGGCGTGGAACAAGGCGATGTCGGGGAGCCGGTCGAGGAATCCGTCGAGGGAAGGCGCGGAGAGGCCGAAGCCGTTGAAGTCGATCGACGCGACGGCGGTGGCCGAGGCGTTGTCGGGCGGGCTGTCGCAGAAGAACCCGCGGTAGGTGCAGATGTCGGAGCCGACCCATGAGGCTGTGATGTTGAGTGGGTCCGAGGTAATTGTGGATTTGAATTTTTGGATTACTGGGTAGACGGTGGCGAGCCTTGCGTCGGCGAAGGTGAGGAGGTTGATTTGGGGGTTTCTGCCGGCGGGTGAAGGAGGTGGCGGTGGTGAGGTTAGTGATGGAGACGGCGGCGGCGGAAGCAGTGGAGATTTGGGTGATTTGGTGCGGCCTCTGGATCTTCTGGAGGATTGGAGAGGTTGAGATTCGTGGAGGGAATTGAGGGCTAGTGTGTTGAGAATGAGGAGGGAAGAGAGGAACAGAGAAAGCGGGAGAAGTGAAGAAATTGAGGGCATTTTGGTGTTCTGTTGGTTGTGTTGGTTTGTGGGTTTTGGAGTCTTTAAGGTTTATGTGTGTTTGGTGGGAATTGTTGTTTCGTGGCCAACAAGAGGAAGTGGGGAATGGAGGGAAGAGGAGAAATTTATATGAAAATGGCGGCAGAGTGCAGAACCCCAATGGATGAATGGACGTTGGGTTGGTAGTAATACTATATTGAGGATGTGGGTAGGAGTGGACATCCCACTTATAGAACTGGGGAAATCCATTTCATTCCCATTTCCCCAACAAGGAATGGCGCATGATTGACATCATAACATACTCATCCTTGTTCAACTAAGCTGCTATGGTTCTGTTTTTTTTTTTTTTTTTTTTTTTTACTGAGGTGGGTATGTTATAAATAGGGAATTACAAAGAGCTGAAAAATAAATAGCGGTAGTCAACCAAGCGCTGATCTATCGATGCAAGAGCCGTTTTCGCCACGCAATGGACAACCCTGTTAGTTCTACGAGGAGAAAAAACAAAACGAATAAACGCAAACGACACTTTCAGCAACCGGACTTCCTCAAGAATTGCCCCACCAAGATTATGCTGAACTTCATTCTCCGTTACTCGCCGGATCACCATTTGGGAATCACCACAAAAACAAACAGAGGTAACCCCCTGATTAAACACCACTCCTTCGCATCTCACAACGCCAAGAGTTCCAACAAGAATGGTTCGAATAAACCGTCATAGTACTTACCGTAAGCATGGACGATTGTAGCTGATGCCGAGAATCCCACAAAACCGATGCTTCCACCAACCTCCCTGCTGGTAGCCCCATCAAAACGAACTAGCAAACCCCCTGATGGGCAAGAAGGAGAAGGCGTGGTGGATGGAGAGCGACCAGAAAGATTCCTGCCATGCGAGCCTAACGCGGTTGCTGCGATCCACTCGTCCCTTTGGTGCAAAATTTGTTGGAAAAGGAGGCCTGGCAAATACTGAACTCGGTCATAACAAGACCAGCAGCGAGCCTTCCATATTCTCCATATGAGAAACAGAAGCTCTGCCATCTCCAACTTGTTGAGTTGCAATGATTTAAACACACAAGACCAGGCCATGTCAGGGGAAAGATTCGCTAACACCACTCGGATGTGCTCCTTTCCAGCCTTGCTCCAAACCTATCGAGCTACCCTGCAGTTAAATAGGCAATGAGAAATGGACTCTACAGCTGAGGAACACACAGGGCATAAGTTCGAATCACTTAGGGATTTAATTTGCAGAATTTCTAGACATGGCAAAAACCCTCTAACAACCCTCCACAAAAAGAATTTAAGTTTTGGAGGGACGGGCAAGCTCCAAAGTAATTTCCAAAACTGAGAGTCGGGATGCAGAGGGAGGTTGTTGAACATCTCGGATTGCCCATCCGAAAGGAGATGATAGCCAGTCTTCACTGTATATTCCCCTATATCAGAGTAATACCAAATATATTTGTCAGGCCTAGGCAAAGATGGTAGGGGAATAGATAAAATGAACTTAATGCTGTCATTAGTAAATTAATCTCGGAGGAGATCCTTGTTCCAAGTACGGGACATGGGGTGGATCAAGGAAGCCACAAACGGATTCGGGAGCTAAACTCTAGGCAATAGAACCGGGGAAGAGGGAGGAGAAGTGGGTAACCAAGGATCATCGAGGATTCTGATTGATGTACCACACCCAACCTGCCACCGAAGTCCTTTGCACAGAAGCTTACGACCTTCAAGAATTCCTTGCCACACCCAAGATGGCCGAGTCCCCGTCGTAGCATTGAGGAACGAACAATGGGGATGATATCGCGCTTTGTACATCTTGGCTAATGTAGAAGTTGGGGACATAAGGATCTTCCAAACTTGTTTAGCCAACATGGCTATGTTGAAAATGTCGAAATCCCGGAATCCCAATCCGCCCCTAAACTTACGCACACACACTACTGGCCATGCAATCCAATGTATCACTTTCTCCTTGTCTTGGCTCGCCCACCAAAATCGGGAGAGCTGCCCATTCATTCGACGACACGAGGTGGCTGGTAAAAGGAAAGACAACATCGCATACACCGAGGTCGTTGAACCGATAGCTTTTATAACCACTTCCTTTGCTGCCAACAAAAATGATTTCGATTTCCAGCTGTGGATGCGCTTAGCCAATGCATCTTCGATAAATCGGAATGTCTGAACTTTATATCTTTGCACCTGAGCAGGTAAGCCATGGTATTTGTCCAAGGCACTAATGGAATCCACGAAGCCAAGTCTGAAGCTTCTTGGGTGGAAACGTTGGAACTGAAGCAAACCTTTGACTTCTGCAAGTTGATTTTCTGCCCACTCGTTGCTTCATAGAGACTAAGTAGTTGAAGCAGTTGCATGCATTCCATGGTTGAGGCTCACAAAAACAAATAAGTGTCATCAGCAAACAACAAATGTGAATTCATTGGAGCTAAATGATGGATTTTAAGACCATGCAATTGTTGTGATGCAGAGCATGAGAAATCAGTGTGGAAAATGCTTCAGTATAAATGGCAAAAAGAAGGGGAGACAACGGATCACCTTGACGGATACCCCGTTCGGGATGAAAATATCCATGTGTGTTGCCATTCAGAAGTACTAAGAAGGTGACAGTGGAGACACAAGCCTTGATAAGTTTGATCCAGGAAGAGTCAAATCCCAGCGACTCCATTACAGCAAAGAGAAAGTTTCACTCCACTCGGTCGTAAGCTTTTTCCATGTCGAGCTTCAATGCCATCCATTTATCTCTACCTTGGGATTTCGTATTAAGAAAGTGCATCACCTCCTGCACGATAAGTATGTTATCCGAGATGTCCCTTCCTTTGACGAAACCATTTTGGGTGTCGCTAACCACAGAAGGCAGAACCTTGCTCAAACGAAAAGACAAAACCTTTGAGATGATCTTATAAAAGACCTGGCATAACCCAATTGGCCGCATCTGTCTCATTGAATTTGCATTGGGAACCTTGGGAATCAAGGTGATCAACGTGTGGTTAAAATTGTGTAGCAAACTCCCTGATCTAAAGAAAGACAAAGCAACTACACACACTGAGTTACCAATGATATCCAAAAAATGCTTGATAGAACACAGCACTAAATCCATCTGTGCACGGAAGTGCAGTCAAAATCGAGCTTTAAAGTGTAAAATCGTACGATTTTACGTTTCTAGGGTAGGAAAACGGTACAAATCACTAATAAAATCGTTTTTCACTAAAAATCGGTCAAAAGCGTAAGTAGAATCGTTAAAATCGGTGAAAACGTATAAAACGCGTTTTCAGACTGCTTTTTTACGAGTCCAAGCATTTGAAAAAAAAATGTTGGCACTCAATCAAAACGACGCAGTTTTGGTATTTCAGATAAAAAAAAGAAGGGGGTGGCTATCGGGCAGTCTTCAAATCCATTCCCCTGCAACTCTAATTCTCTCCATCTCCACTCTCCAGCAGCCACGCACTCTCCATCTCCACTCTCCAGCAACCCTAACAAACAATCCCTCACTGCCGCCGCGCGGCTAGCCGGCTGTCCAACCAAGTATCAGCCGCCGCCGCCGCATTCCACTGTAGCTCCAGTGCCTGTCGCACGCCAGCTCCAACGCCCTTTGCCCGTCGCACACTCGCCCTCGTTTCATCGCAATCGCAATCAAGCCCTCGTTTCCACTTTCCAGTAAGTCAAGTCAACTTATCCATGCTGATGAAAGTTCTTTCTTTCTTCTTTTGCTTATGCGGCTGGCATCAATGAAGGATTATGTCCGTTTGGTTTTGTACGACTGTCGCAAAGCTACTTTTGGCTTTTGCCCCTTCCATGAACTGTCTTCCTCTGCATCCTTATATGTCAATTGTCAACACCCATAATCATCTCATGTTCCACGAGGGATGATTTCTTTGGGTGCTTATGGATTTTAATCACCTCAATTATGCCTACACTTTGAAACTACCATGTTACTGTTTGTTTTTCTTGGAAACCTAGGTTATTGTTGAATTCAATAGAATGCAAGCTAATTACTTAGTTTATTGGAAGCGATAAATAAACAACATATAGAGTTTCAATTCAAACTCGGTCACTCTCTATATTCCCCACAATCTTATAACACTTAAATCCAAGTATCCACAAATTCATGTTTGAAGAAACGGTTAACAAGCATTTTTGGTATTCAGCAGCCCACTAACAGAACTCCCTATTCTACTATTGATCAATTAAGCTAACTTGAGTATTGTGATTGTTTTCTACTTGGGGTTTCAGTTTCCATTGCAACTTCATTGGGGTTTAAGGGAGTTTTGTGCTTGTTTGGATTCACCAAAAATTTTTATGAATTTGTTATAATTTAGACATGAAATTGCAGGTATTTATTCTTCAATCAAAACTTTGTGCACTCATATTTTACATAGTTTATGTCGTACTTAACAAATTTTTAACCATTATACAGGATGCATCAAGAACTTACGCTTTTACGCTTTGATTCACCGCTTTTCGATTTTTACCCATTTTCCGCTTTTAGGTAGAATCGCGCTTTTAATTGCATTGAAGCCCGGGGCCTGGGAAGGACCGATACTAAAGGTTGCCTGTCTGATCTCTTCCCTAGAGACTGGGACTAAGAGGAATCTGTGCTGTGAGGAGCTTACCTTTTGAGGAAGTCCAAGGGTTGTCACTAAAAAATGGAAAGGATTCCCATTAGAGGAAAAGAGAGTCATGAAATAGGTAACTTAAACATTACCTTTAACTGGCTCTTCAATGTGAATCCTGCCAGATTCATCTCGGAGTAACTCTATTTGGTTCTGACGTCTCCATTAAGCAGTCGTTATATGGAAGTAGTTCGTATTTACATCTCCTTCCCGCAGCCAGCTATTCCTCAACTTTGCTTCCAATATACCTGTTCTTGCTGACGTCTCCATTGAGCAGTCGTTATATGGAAGTATTTCATATTTGTATCTCCTTCCCGCAGCCAGCTATTCCTCAACCTTTTCTTCCAATATACATGTTCCTGCTGATATGCTACCGCTAATTGTGCTTCCAGACCTTGTATGATGTTCTAGTCAAAAGGTACGCTCTCCCTTGCAACTTCTATTGCTAGGCGAAGCTCTCTGATGAGTCTAGCTGCATTCGTAGTCCCCAAGCATTCCCAATCAACAAAGTGGCGTCTAGCAGATTGAGAGAAGAGAAGAGCTGGAACTGATGCATTCCAGCATACACCTCACGCTAGGTTTGCAGCACAATGGCCTTGGCTTCCACATTTGAGGTCCATCTTTTTATCAAACTGGAACCAGGGTTTGCCTTTACCTACTCCGGGGATCAGCTAGAGTAGGATCATCCTGTGATCAGATCCAAGGTCAGTCAAGTGTGAGACATGCACATTCGGCCAAGCATGAATGATTAGTTCACAACCTAGGCTACGATCAATCCGTTCAAGGATGTGGGTGGAGAGTCCTTGGCGATTTGACCAAGTGAAGGGAGGGCCTTTGAAGCCCAAGTCCAAGAGACCTAGAGAATCAATGAATGAGTGAATCTGATCCAGAACATAGAAAGCAGGAGGGCGTGCCCCCTATTTTTTAGAAGCAAATAGCATGCAATTGAAGTCACCAATGACTATGGTAGGGATAGAACACGACGAGATCAAATTGAGTAGTTCATTGAACTGATTACCACAAGTATTTACAACATAACTTAAATGGACAAAGAAGACAATAATACTACCCCAAACAAGGTGTTGAACCTCGACAAATATATAGAAAGCAGTTGCTCCTAACACTTGACACTGGACATTCGAGGCACAAGCAAACACAAGGCCTCCAGCCCTCCCAACCGGGAAAACACAACTGACCACGACATAGCCAAATCGACTTAACTTCTTATTTACATAATCATCATCATGCTTTGTCTCACTTAAACAGACAATCGATGGGGAGAATCGACAAATGACTCCAAAGAGAAATGAAATTGTCAGAGGAGAGCCAAGTCCTCGAAAATTCCAAGCGAGGATGCTCATCTATCGCTTTGGGACCAGTCAGGGCTGGTTGCAACCACCACATCAGCAATATTCTGAGTTTACGGAGGCAGAGAGCCCTCCAGCTTCTGCTTCTTACCCCCAGGATTGTGGAGCATCAGGTCCGTTGTGTCGGTCCTACCTCGAGTCGAGCTTGGAGATCCAGCCGCACCCTCACCCACAACCGAGACAGGATCAACAGACAAGGACGCCAGACCCGGCACAGGAAGGAGCTTGAGACTCCCCTGACCTTGTTGAGGGTGAGGGGTTCTCTATCTTGGCGGATCCAGGTTAGGCCTCGACGTCCAAGTAGGTTCTTTTAATTCACCTTGGATCCCGACTTCTTGGAGATCAACTGCTTGTTATAAGGAGTGACTGTGCCCGCAAGTTCCTCCCGACGAGGACATTGCTGTCCAATGTGACCGAGGATCCCACACAAGTAACAAAATTGTGAGAGCTTCTCAAATTTCACTATGGTAGTGAACTCACCTTTGCGTGCCTTTTCAAGTGATGTCGGGACAGAGACCGGAAGAGGGAGACGAGAGTCTAGCCTGACAAGAGCCCTCATGTAGACTTTTGAAGTTCCATCCGCTCGGTGTACAGCGCCAGGATCAGTTTTCCCGAGGTAACCGCTAAGAAGCGTGGCCGCCCTCTTTGAGCAGCAAGCGGTGGGAAATCCCCAGAATTGCAGAAAATGGGGAACCCGCCACATTTGTTCGGCTACTTATGACGAGACGGCCACCCAAGGAGCCAATTTCACCAAATACTTCGGTAGAATCCATGGCGCCATCCGCAAGACCCTATTCATGTCTGCCTCATTTGGGAAGGCGAACTGCAGCGGACCCTCCTCCGCTAGGAGAATCGAAATTGGCCCATTGCAATTCCACAGCCCTCCCCCCCCCTCCCCCCCACGGTCGTACGGAGTTGGAGAAGAGGGGGGGGGGGGGGAACGACCCAATGATCATTCCCTAGTAGAGAGAGATCATCTCGTTCAGCCCCAGGAGCGACATCAGCATCGCCAAAGACCACCAATTTTCCCGCAGCCATGTCGATTAGGGAGGAGAAGGGCAAAGCTTCAAATCGAGGGTTCCAAGAGAAATGAATTAGAGAAAAAGAAATCAGTGGCTAGTGAAAGAGTTCCCACGGAGGGGGCTTTAAAATCCCCATGGGATCGATGGCCGATTCCGACGGACCATGATGGCCGAGCAGGCGGTAACCGCTTATCGCACTATGGCAATGTCCTCGCTCCCACTTTCCACGACAGAGCGCAGTTGGGAGAGGATGAGAGTGTTTTTTTTCTAACCCCGAATTTACAAGAATTTCCCGAAATTGTTGAAAGATACGTGAATCATATCCACTTCGTTACCTGATTCCACTATGCTTCTGGTTGGAGATGGTAAATAGATTTACCAACGCAAGCCTTCTAGTTAGAGATTATAAATCCATAAACTTCCTTTTCCTTCGACCAATCGTGCCTATGCTCTCTTGGGATTTTTCCAGAAATAGCTTCTTTTTTAGAAAAAAAAATTACAAAAATAGCACCCAGCTCATAAAAATTACAAAAATAGCACCCATTTTTTTAAAACCGCACCTCCAAGGTGCGGTTTGATTGTGAACTGCACGCACAAGGTGTGGTTTATATGTAAACCGCACGCCCAAGGCGAGGTTTAATGTTCTGGGCCAAAACCGCATCTTGGCCATGCAGTTTCAGGTCTGACCTAATAGAACCGCATGGCCTAAGTGTGGTTCTTGGTCTGACTTAGCAAAACCGTACGTTGGAGATGCGGTTTTGTTTCTCCAAAATAAAATGCACCCTCAACATGCGGTTTTGCCCTTGCTGACACACATACCGCACCCCCCCCCCCCCCCCCCCCATACGGTTTGTGTGTCGTCCCCATTTTTCCGAGATCAAACATGTTGCCATGCAGGTTGGCAGACGTGGGGCTGCATGGCAGATGAAAACCGCACCTTCCCCATGCGGTTTTCATTGATGATTTTGCCTATAAAAGACGGCCCCAAGAAACCTCTTCTCTTCACACCTCTCCTTCTCCCTTTACAATTTTCTGTTGTAGCTCCCCACTTCTTTAGTGTTTTTGCGGTTAACGTTAACTCGTAAGTTTATTTTGTATTACTTTTTATTGTGATTTGTGATTTTTATGATATTAACTGAACTACGGTTTTTTTGCAGATGGCATTCCAAAAGTTCACGCTTGGGTTACGGTGGAATGGTTACACGGAAGAGACCGGAAAGGGGGTCACCTAGGTCGGTTGCAATTTTCAGAAAATAAAGGTCGCTACCAGACCGATGCTTGAAGACCTCTATCAAATGTGTACTAACATTACTAGCATGGATGGCAGGAGAAGAGTTGATCGTATGGTGTACAGATATCCAAACAGAGAAGGCGGGTCGTTGTGGCACGAGGACCACTCAGGATGAAGTAGATGCCATGCTCGAATTCTCGAGGTCCAACAATCTTTCCAAAGCCGAGATGTCCGTTTACACCGAGGCGGTCGTAGGCGTTGGAGGTCATTCTGGAGACGGTCAAACATCTGGTATCCATGGTGGAGGTGAATTATATGGAGATAATCCCTACCAAAGTTACCATGATCCTCATTCCTATTTTCAGTACCAAGAGCAAGGTGAAGGTCATCATCATTCTTTTCCATCATATGAACAAGAACTTCAACCGAACCATGCCAACCAACCCGCGTACAACTTTCAATCAGGCAGCGGTAGTTTTCACAACTACCATTATGGAGCTGATGAAGGTGCCTTTCATGAGCTGGATTAGATGGAAGATGCCCTGCCAGCACCAGTTAGTGACCCCTCCGATGAAGAAGGAGAGAACAACGTCAGTGCATACAGCTCCGACCCTCTTGAAGGTGCTGATGATTTAGGACCAGAGTCAGAGTCAGATAATGATGATGAGGTGGCTCATGACCGTGTACCAGTACCCTACTATAATCACATTCCAGACGAGAATTGGTGTGTCGACATCGACATGGAGCCGCTAGAGGTCCCAGTATGGGGTTCACTCACTAGGTTTATGAAGGGCCAACAATTTGGCTCGAAGAAAGAGGTGCGGCACGCCATTGAGACTGAAGCAATGACTCGGCATTTTGAATGGCACACAACTCATTCCAACACTTAAAGGCTCTTAGTCAGATGCCGTAATCATCACGAGGGGTGCAATGTTAGGATTCGGGCCATCAACAGCAAGAGACACGACCACTGGGTCATATCTCGTGCGGTGAACACACACACATGTGTGTCATCCATAACTTCCCAAGGCCATTGACAGTAGAAATCCAGGGTGGTTGTTGCGGCTATCAAGCATCTAATTGAACAAGATCCGGACCTGAAGGTGAAAGTCATAATCGCTGACATTGCAAGTCGTTATGGTTATATGATTAACTATAAGAAGGCGTGGCATGGAAAGCAGAAAGCTCTGGACGCAGTCTTTGGTGATTGGGAAGAATCATATGCATTCCTTCCCAGGTTAATTTTGGCATTGGAGGCGTCTAACCCTGGTACTGTTTTCTCCCCTCGATACCAAGATGAAGAGATTCAACCCCCAGAGCCAGGTAACAAACGCCATTTTAGACGACTTTTTTGGGCATTCAAGTCATCTATTGATGGTTTTGGCTTATGTGTCCCTGTGATCCAAATGGTTGGTACATTCCTTATCGGCAAGTACAAGGGCACTCTCCTGATTTCCAGTGGGGCGGATGCAAACAGACAAGTCTTTCCTTTAGCTTTCGCCATCGTTGAGGGAGAGAATGTTGATAGCTATGGATGGTTTTTCCGGCAAATTCAGCTCCACGTCACTAGGAGGTCGAACCTGACAATAATCTCTGATCGGCACGCCGACATTAGAGCTGCCATCTTAGGTTTGGATCCAGTCTAGATGTGGTCCCAAAGGTGGTGCATACAACACTTCAAGAGCAACTGGAACCATCATTTCAAGCGAAAGAAGCTTGCGGAGAATTTGTGGTGGATTGGTAAGCTCTCTATTGGTTGTTTAATTTTGTCAAATAACAATATCTTATATCAAATTCAATGGTACACTTGTTAGACTCTTTATAAAGAGATGCATTCCTAAGTAAATGGGGTTTTAAGCGATTATCATGGTCCTCCCATTTCTTGGGAAAATTGGGTTTTAAGCGATCCTTGGATCCCTCCTTTTTCTGTCAAAAATTTTGCGTTTCTAAAAAGATGTATACCTCTTCTAAGAGTCTAACGAGTGTACCTGCTGGTTGTTTTAATTGTACTAAATTTCCAAATCCAGAATAACTTAAATACTTTTTTGTCTGCTCCTCAGCTGTTGCCTACCTAAAGAAAAAATTCCAAGAGAAGTTGCAAAAGATGCGTGAGTTATGTCCTGAAGGGGCACATTGGCTGGATGGACACGACCTATCCATGTGGACATTTCATAAAGACGGAGGTACAAGATGGGGTATTGCCACAACGAACTCAAGTGAGAGTATCAATTCTGCCTACAAGGGTGTTCGGGCGCTGCCAATCTCTGCCATTGTGGAGATGACTTTCTGGAAAACGAATGCATGGTTTGTCAATCGACTCCACTGGGCAAGGACGAACGAGGCACAGGGAAATGTCCATGCCTATAAAGTCATAGAAATAATAGAGCATGAAAATAGCAAGAGCAGTCGACACAGTGTAACCGTTATGAATCGGGCATCTAGCGAGTTTAGCGTGACGACCGGACACGGTGAGGATGGTAGACGCTGGGGCCATCACCATGAAGTTTTGGTAGATTTCATGACAAAACTTGGTGAGTTCTCATGCCAGAAGTACCAGGGGAGAGGGTGGCCATGTTCTCATGCAATGGTTGTAATTAAAAATAGGAGCAAAGACCCCCGTCACTTCGTCAGTCCATTCTTCAATATCGACTCGCTCAAAAATTGCTATGGACGGTCTTTCCGTGCATTGCCTGATGAAGCTTATTGGCCGGTGTACGAAGGAAAGTTGATCATCCCGCCGTTCAGACAGAGGCGTGAACCAGGTCGGCCGAGGAAAAAGAGAATTCAGAACGAAATGGATCAAAGTGGAAGACCACCACGAGGCCCAAGACGATGTTCAGTATGCAGAGTTCCAGGGAATGATAAACGAAGTTGTCTAGATTCGATTGGTCCGCAAAATCCGGGTCCTGATGTGGGGGACTCAGCTAATGCGGCATAGTTTGCTGTTATCATTTGTTGGTACTTTTTATGTATGTTTTCACTTATTGTCAGAGTTAGAGTTATGATGCTTGGAACTTGCGTGTAAGCCAAGTACATAGAACTAAAAAAAACACTCAATTAAATAAACTAAATTAGGAGGAAGGGTTTCAAGTACATATAATTAAAATTCAACAAAAAAAAACAACACTTAATTAGGTAAACTAAAAATACATCTCAAAGAATTCCCTGGGACTCATGGGGTTGCAAGGTTTTCTTGCTCCTTGTACGACGGCCGACGGGGATAACCATCGGTGGTGGCGGTGGCAGATTTCGATGGGCCATGTTAGGGAAATCGTCGGTGCTGTGTCGGCGTCGATCCATGGGAGGCGCCGCTTCCAGGGTCGAGCGGGGGACATCCACGCTCATACGGTGAGGAGTAGGAGGCCACAGTTGATGAGGGCGAGGAATAGGATTGAAGTCGTGATGCGCAGTCGTGGAATCCTCATGCCAAGTACCCGAGGATGTGGGGGGTTCGTTGAAGAAGTTGGGGCGGGGATCTTGATGGTAGATCGGTCGAGGATCATAGTATAGTGGTGGGTGGGGATCGTAGTATGAGCTCGGGCGGGGATCGTGGTATGAGATCAGGCAGGGATCATATTGGGAGCCCGGTCGTTGATCATTGTAGGGACTTGGGCGGGGATCATGGTGGTAGCTCGAAGGGGATTGTTGGTGGCTCGGGCGGGGATCGTAGTATGAGCTGGGGTGGGGATCGTGGTGGTAGATCGGGTAGGGATCATGATGGTAGCTCGGGCGGGGCTCTTGGGATGAACTCGGGCGGGGATCTTGATGTGAGCTCGGACCACCACCGTGTGTCACAACCAAGGGGGGTGGCACTCTCCACGCCACCAACGGCGTTATCTCGGGCACGTTGGGTCTTTCCCGAACCTTCTTGCTTTTCTTTCTCTTGTATGGTGGTGGGGGTGGGAGACATCATCTTGTACCGGAGGTGGCACCGATGCGAGCATGGGTGGGTATCTACGATGATCACGACCCTGTGCTCTGATACAGCCAAGTAGACTGTTTGTCATCCTCCTAATGAAGCTCATTTATTCACTGACCATTTCATGTTTCCCATGGGCCAAATCTTTGATCCGCTCGATCCCATCAGCCTAAATCACATAAAAAAGGTTAGTAAGATAAGACTAATGATGTGTCTCCATGAAACAAGCAATAAATTTAATTGTTGTGCCTCCTAGAGAAAATTTCCATGTTATTTATGATATATTAGTAACAGTTTTTTCTTATAACTATTTAATTAAAATAAATGATTTAACTTCGACCAGAATTTTATTATTATTATATTATTAACAATCAAATTTAAATAATTGATGGTTTTTTCCAAGATATATACATATTATCATAAAACAAACATACTCAATTAATTAACATAAATAACATTCTAAATAAATAATAATTTAAAGAGATACATACATATTCAAACATTTGAAATTAATAAAATTCATTTTGTACGCATAAACATAAATCGTATTGATTGTTTGGTAAATAATTTAATTGTATTGGTTGTTTTAAATAATTTAATCGAATACAATGCAACACTCATTAGACTCTTTGAAGAGGTATACATCTTCTTAGAAACGCAGCTTTTTGACAGAAAAAGGAGGGGATTCGAGGATTTCTTAATACCCGATTTTCCCAGAAAATGGGAGGATTCAAGGTAAGTTTTCTTTTCTTTATTTTTCTTTTTAGTTGTGTCAAACCCGTGCATGTTTAGATAAGGAGTTGAACATTAGGGACATTGTTCCATCCTGAGTGTGGGGTGGTGAGTCTTAGTGTTTGTTTGTCCCTATTGCAAGTGGTAAAAAAAACAAAAAAAAAACTGTCATTTGGGTTGTGCACAGCCAAACTGCATGCAGTCTACCTGTGCTGGTGCAGTCTGTCTGTGCTAACCTAATGGCTAAAAAACACCTAAAATCAGAAAAATTAAAAACAAAACCTTGTACTCTTGGAGATTTTTCCAGAAATAGCACCTTTTAAAAAAATTACAAAAATAGCACGCACCCGAAAATATTTACAAAAATAGCACCCTTTTCTATGGACCGCTCCTCCAAGATGCGTTTTATATGTAAATCGCACCATGAGGGTGCGTTTTATATATAAACCGCACCTTTAAGGTGCGGTTTATTATCCTGGGATAAAACCGCATCTTGGTCATGCGGTTCCAGGTCTTACCTATATAAAACACATGGCCGAGGTGCGATTTTGGCCTGACCTAGCAAAACCGCACTTTGGAGATGCGGTTTGCTTCTCCAAAACAAAACCGCACCCCCCAGTGCGGGTTGTGTGTCAATTATTTTCCGACACCCGACATATAGCCATGCAGAATAATAGACGTGGGGCTGCATGGCAGACGAAAATCGTATCTCTAAGGTGCGGTTTTCATAAGTGATTTTGGCAAATAAAAGACTGCACGGAAAACCTCTTCTCTTCATACCTCTCCTTCTCCCTTTTCAATTTTCTGTTCTAGCTCTATATTTCTTTAGTGTTTTTGCGATTAACATTCATTCGTAAGTTTATTTTGTATTACTTTTTATTATTATTTGTGATTTTTTATTTTTATGATATTAACTAAACTACGGTTTTTTTGCAGATGGCATTCCAAAAGTTCACGCTTGGCTTACGGTGGAATGGTTACACGAAAGATACTAGAAAGGGGGTCACCTACGTCGGTGGCAATTTTCAGAAAATAAAGGTCGCTACCAGACCGCTGCTTGAAGACCTCCATCAAATGTGCACTAACGCTACTTGCATGGATGGCACGAGAAGAGTTGATCGTATGGTGTACCGATATCGAAACAGAGAAAGTGGGTCATTGTGGCATGAGGAATATCCAATAACCACTTAGAATGAAGTAGATTCCATGCTCGAATTCTTGAGGTCCAACAATCTTTACAAAGTCGAGATGTTCGTTTACACCGAGGCGGCCATTGGCGTTGAAGGTAATTCTGGACACGGTCAAACATCTGGTATCCATGGTGGAGGTGAATTATATGGCGATCATCCCTACCAAAGTCACCATGATCCTCATTCCTATTTTCAGTACCAAGAGCAAGGTGAAGGTCATCATCAATCTTTCCCGTCATATGAAGAAGAAGTTCAACCGAACCTCCCCAACCAACCTCAGTACAACTTCCAATCAGGCAGCGGTAGTTTTCACAACTACCATTATGGAGCTGATGAAGGTGCCTTTCATGAGCTGGATCAAATGGAAGCTGCCCTGCCAGCACTAGTTAGTGACCCCTCCGATAAAGAAGGAGAGAACAACGTCAGTGCAGACAGTTCCGACCCTCTTGAAGGTGCTGATGATTCAGGACCAAAGTCAGACTCAGATAATGATGATGAGGTGGCTCGTGACAGTGTACAAGTCCCCTACTATAATCACATTCCATACGACAATTGGATGGTCGACAGCGACATGGAGCCGCCAGAGGTCCCAGTATGGGGTCCACTCACTGGGTTTATGAAGGGCCAACAATTTGGCTTGAAGAAGGAGGTGCGTCATGCCATTGAGACTGAAGCAATGACTCGGCATTTTGAATGGCACACAACTCATTCCAACACTTAAAGGCTCTTAGTCAGATGCCGTAATCATCACGAGGGGTGCAATGTTAGGATTCGGGCCATCAATAGCAAGAGACACGACCACTGGGTCATATCTCGTGCGGTGAACACACACACATGTGTGTCATCCATAACTTCCCAAGGCCATCGACAGTTGAAATCCAGGGTGGTTGTTGCGGCTATCAAGCATCTAATTGAGCAAGATCCAGACCTGAAGGTGAAAGTCATAATCGCTGACATTTCAAGTCGTTATGTTTATATGATTAACTATAAGAAGGCGTGGCATGGAAAGCAGAAAGCTCTGGACGCCGTCTTTGGTGATTGGGAAGAATCATATGCATTCCTTCCCAGGTTAATTTTGGCATTGTAGGCGTCTAACCCTGGTACTGTTTTCTCCCCTCGATACCAAGATGAAGAGATTCAACCCCTAGAGCCAGGTAACAAACGCCATTTCAGACGACTTTTTTGGGCATTCAAGCCATCTATTGATGGTTTTGGCTTATGTGTCCCTGTGATCCAACTGGATGGTACATTCCTTATCGGCAAGTACAAGGGCACTCTCCTGATTTCCAGTGGGGCGGATGCAAACAGAAAGTCTTTCCTTTAGCCTTCGCCATCGTTGAGGAAGAGAATGCTAATAGCTATGGATGGTTTTTCCGGCATATTCAGCTCCACGTCACTAGGAGGTCAACCTGACAATAATCTGATCGGCACGCCGGCATTAGATCTGCCATCTTATGTTCACCTCCAGCCTGGAAGTGGTCCCACAGGTGGTGCATACTACACTTCCAGAGCAACTGGAACCATCATTTCAAGCGGAAGAAGCTTGCTGATAATTTGTGGTGGATTGGTAAGCTTTCTAGACGCCATTTAATTATGTCAGCTAACAATATCTTGTAATCAGGAGAGTGGTGCACTTGTTAGACTCTTTATAAAGAGATTCATGCCTAAGGAAATGGGGTTTTAAGCAATTATCATGGTCCTCCCATTTCCTGGGAAAATCGTCTTTTAAGTGATCTTCGGATCCCCCCTTTTTCCGTCAAACATGTTGTGTTTCTAAGGAGATCTATACCTCTCCTAAGAGTCTAACGAGAGTGCCTCCGGGTTGGTCGAATTGTACTAAACTGCCGAAAATTGACTAACAATATACTTTTTTGTGTGTTCCTCAGCGGTTGCCTACCAAGAGAAAAAATTTCAGGAGAAGTTGCAGAAGATGCGCGAGTTATTCCCTGAACGGGCACAGTGGCTGGATGGACACGACCTCACCATGTGGACATTTCATAAATATGGAGGGACAAGATGGGGTATTGCCACAACGAACTCAAGTGGGAGTATCAACTCTATCTACAAGGTTGTTCGTTAACTGCCTATCTCTACCATTGTGGAGATGACTTTTTGGGAAACGAATGCATGGTTCGTCAACCGACTCCACTGGGCAATGACGAACAAGGCACATGGAAAGGTCCATGCCTATAAAGTCACCGAAGTAATGGAGAATGACAATCGCAAGAGCAGACGACATAGTGTAACCATTATGAATCGGGCAAATGGCGAGTATAGCGTGACGACCGGTCATCGGGAGGATGGCAGACGGGGGAGCCACCGCCATGAAGTTTTGGTCAATGTCAGGACAAAAGTTGGTGAGTGCTCATGCCAGAAGTATCAGGGGAGAGGGTGGCCTTGTTCTCATGCAATGGCCGTAATTAAAAACAGGACAAAGACCTCTGTCAATTCGTTAGTCCATTCTTCAATATCGACTCACTCAAAAATACCTATGGGCGGAGTTTCCGTGCATTGCCTGATGAAGCTTATTGGCCGTTGTACGAAGGAAAATTGATCATCCCGCCGTTCGGACAGAGGCGAGAACCGGGTCGCCCAAGGAAAAAGAGAATTCAGAACGAAATGGATCAAAGTGGAAGACCACCACGAGGCCCAAGACGATGTTCAACATGCAAAGTTCTAGGACATGATAAACGAAAGTTTCCAGACCGATTGGTCCGCAAACACCGGGTCCTGATGTGGCGGACTCAGCTAATGCGAATTCTTGATTGATGACTTATTTGGCAAGTAATTGTGAATTGTGAATTGTTGAGATGACTTTGGCAAATAATTGTGAATTGTTGATTGATCGAATTTGGATAATATCAAGTTAACACGGAAAAAAATGGACAAATCCAATTACATAGAAATAAAAACAAATTAAAACAACACTCAATTAAATAAACTAAGATAAGAGGAATAGTTCCAAGTACATATAATTAAAATTCAACTCAAAATACATCTCAAGGAAGTCCACGAGCTTCACCAGAACTGACGATTTTCTTGCTCCTTGTACGACGGCTGACAGGAGTAACAATTGGTGGTTCCGGTGGCAAGTTTCGAATGGCCGAGGTAGTGTGGCGCTCGTCGGTGTTGTGTCGGTGGAGAGGCGGCGCTTCCGGGGTCGAGCGGGGGACATCTGCGCTCATACGGTGAGTAGGAGGCCACGACTGATGAGGGCGAGTCCATGGGGTGAATTCGTAGGGCGCCGTCATTGAGGAACCATCATGCCAAGTACCTAATAATGTAGCGGGATCTTGGGGGTAGACCGGGCGAGAGTCGTAGTATTGTTGGCAGGGAGATGGGGGTAGACCGGTCGGGAATCGTATGATGGTTGGTGGGGATCGTTGTATGAGATCGGGTTGGGATCGTTGTATGAGATCGGGTTGGGATAATATGGGGATTGATTGTAGCTCGAAGGGGATTGATGGTAGGTCGAGCAGGGATCGTAGTATGAGCTTGGGTGGGGATCGTTGTGGTAGGAGGGGCGGTGCTCTTGGGGTGAATTCGGGCGGGGATCTTGGGAGGAACTCGGGCGGGGATCTTGGGCAGAACACGGGCGGGGAGCTTGGGAGGAATTCGGGTCGGCACCATGTGTCACAACCAATGGGGCCGGCACTTTCCACGCCTGATATGGCTTTACGTCGGGCACGTTGGGCTTTCCCGAATCCTCTTGCTCTTGTTTCTCTCGTATGGTGGTGGGGGATTGGGGACATCAACTTGTACCGGAGGTGGGGGGGTGGCCATGGGAGGATATCTACGATGATCCCGACCCTGAGCTCTGATACACCCGAGCAGACTGTTTGCCATCCTCCTGATGAAGCTCACATCTTCATTGCCCAGCTCAACTCTCCCAGCGGTCATATCTTTGATCCGCTCGATCCCAACAGCCTAAATCACAAAAAAAAAGTTAGAAATTTTTTTTTTGGCACCAAGTAATAAATTTAATTGTTTAGGCGGAATATACTTACCAATGCACCATCGGCTGCACCCTCCGGAGTCATGTAACGAACCGATGTTTGCCAATATTGATCCAAGTATGGGTCATGATACCTCATTCGACCCACTCGAGTTAGAGTGATAATATGCTGGCCTTGTCGGTTCTCCCACATCGTGATGAATTTCGCCAACTTCGTGGGCCAATCGTGAGTACCTTGCCGACCATCTCGGCGGTGAAAGGCCCTTTGACTATCGGGGACCTCCAACGGAATGCACTGCTCCCGACCAAACTGACGGAGGCATCGATCCGGCAAGGGTCACTCCATGGTCCCAAAACAAATTAGAGGGACCCTCGTGCACCATTGCCCCATGACCGGGGAATTGCTGGAGATGCCAATGAACGATGTTCTCCGGGTATGGATCGAAGACGATCTACAAGAAAGAAATGAGTAACTTAAGTTTATCAGAATTGGAAAAATACATGTACTCCATGAAAAAAAGATATAAATGGATCGAAGTATAGAAGTTACCTCTCCTTCCCAAAGTCGCTCAAACCTCCTCCGATACTCGACCAACTTGTGTTGGGCAAGGTTGTCGCATGTTGTGTGTCTGAGCCACCTTATTAATAAGACAATAATGAAACTACAATAAGCTAAAACACAAGGGAAAATGTGTTATGAAAAACATGATGGGGTATGAGAAGTTTACCTTGTACCATAAGCTTCACCTCTTAGGGGATGATCGATTGGCCAATCCCTGTCGGGACGTTGGACCGGTGCAATCCATGGCATATGCTCCCAAGCCCAAAATTGAACGATGAACATTGCGCCGCCGACCTCCCTCACAGATTTTAGAGACGCATTGCACAAATTGTGGTAGATATTAGCTAGGCAAGCGGATGCCCAGCTAAACTCCCCCATCTCCTCCCAACTACCGAGGATGATGCTAAGCCATCCACAGCTAAGGAGGTTGCTTGATTATTTGGAGAAGAACACTCCTCCGATCATGCCTATGAGATAGACACGAGCATATCTTTCCTTCTCATCCTCCGGACTTTCCTCGGTTAGGGGATGAGTCTCGTAATGGTCTCTAAAATACTTCGTCAACCAAGTAATTGAGACTTGGTGTTTCCTCATTGGTGGCAAGCGATCGGTCGCATCAACGCTCCCCTTGACTGGTACTTTCACCCCCAAAACACTATGGATGAAATGAACCCAACCGGGCATACCGTCACGATCCTCGAGGGGATGATCACTCGCACACCGGTTTGCCGTCGATGGGCAGGTGAGTTAGGATGGCGACATCCTTTAGCGTGATGGTGGCCTCTCCTTCTCTAAAGTTGAAACAATGGGTTTCCTTCCTCCATCTCTCATCTAATGCGGTGATGAGTTCGTGATCGACTTTGATGCCGTTAAAATGCCTAATCGAGTCCAATCGTGCCCTTTTGAGAAAGGGCAAGATAGCTGGGTGGAATGAGAGCACATTGGTCGTATCCCTGTAGCGGAGTATTGTTTGTGCCTCCTAGCGAAAATTTACACATTAATTATTATATATTAGTAAGGGTTTTTTCTTATAACTAAATTAATTAAATTAAATTATTTAACTTCGAGCGGAATTTTATTATCATAAAAATATATTTAATATAATTAACATAATAACATTCTAAATCAATAATAATTTAAAGAGATACATACATATTATCATAAAACAAACATCCTAAATTAATTAACATAATAACATTCTAAATGAATAATAATTTAAAGAGACACATACATATTATCGTAAAACAAACATACTGAATTAATTAACATAAATAAAATTGTAAATGAATAATAATTTAAAGAGAAACATACATATTAAAATATTTGAAATTAATAAAATTCATTTTGTACACATAAAAATAAATCGTATTGGTTGTTTGGTAAATAATTTAATCGTATTGGTTGTTTGGTAAATAATTTAATCGTATTGGTTGTTTTAAATAATTTAATCGAATACAGAGCAACACTCGTTAGACTCTTAGAAGAGGTATACATCTTCTTAGAAATGCAGTCTTTTTGACAGAAAAAGGGGGATCCGAGGATCACTTGATACCTGATTTTCCCAGGGAATGGGAGGATATGATAATCGCTTAAAACCCCATTTCCTTAGATGTGCATCTCTTTATAAAGAGTCGAAGTAAGTGGCGCTATGTATTCGATTAAATTATTGAAAACAACCAACACGATTAAAAATTCAACATAAATTTATTTTATATTCCACTAAAACATTAGCAAAATAAAAGAAAGACAAATGATGAAGAATTGTATGTACTGGGTGATCGTTCCAAACATCCATTGACTGATGGTTGGGTTAGTCGTACAAGTCGGTAGGATCCAACGGTCCTTGCTCGAGATAATACCGTTGGTTGTATATATCCACGTAGTCCCCAACCTACGAGAAAATAAAAACGAGGTTAGTACATAGATTAATTAAAAAGCTTATAACAACAACAAAAACTAAACCAGAATAATGAGTACGTACTGCTAGAAATTCATCAACATAAACTCCCTCTCCTTGCCACCACTCGCTCATTTTTTCAGGAAATTCGGACAGAGATTCGGCTCGGCGGGTTTTGAGGAAAAAACCAAAGAAATGTTTTCTGATGGCAGATCGAACTTAGCAGCAACCAACAGACCACTATTTCCTAGGCTTTTGGGAGGGCAGGGTTTAGTGAGATAAATTATAGAGAGAGAAGGAAGAATGGGTTGTGGTGTGAAGAAATGAGAGGGGAAGGGGGGGTATTTATACTTATCAGACCGCACCCTTCAGGGGAGGTCTGGTAATTTTCCCCTCGTAAAAACCGCTCCCTTACGATGCGATTTGCGATTCACGAGGCGCTGACTACTCCTTGCAGGTGCGGTCCCCGATCCATGGCGCGGATCGCTCTGCTGGCGTGCGGTCCGCCGTCCGATCGCACCTTCATCCAACGGTCTTGAAGACCGTTCAGCAGAAAAAACACACCGCATCTTCCTTGTGCGATTCGCGTGACGACGTGGAATAAACTGCACCCCTAAGGTGAGGTTTACTTATAAAACGCACCTTGGAGGTGCGGTCTATTAAAAATGGTGCTATTAGTGTAAATTTTTTCGTCTGGGTGCTAGTTTTGTAAAAACAAATTTAAACGTGCTATTATTGGAAAAAATCCATACTCTTGTGATAACGTGATGTAAATGACTGTGATGCCTTGAAAATGAGTTTGTTCTTGAAGGAAATCATCAAAATCACCCCCACTAGTGTTGAATTGCATAGTTCTTCACAATGAGCTTGATGTTTTGACTGACTTGATGTGCTTTGAATGAGCAAACTATTTTAGCAAAACTCTATTTTGGGAGGATAGTGTAATGTCTTATGGTGAAGTGGTTAGGTGGAGATCATTGACCATTCGACATGTTTGGATACCGTACTTACTTGCATCTGTTGT